CACATATACACACACATATATATATATACACATATATACACACACATATATATATATACACATATATACACACACACACACACACATAAAAAAACATTTTTTAGCCAGTTTGGCTATGAGAGCACATCGACTGGCTGCATTACTTATTTAGAGTTCTCTACATGTCACCCATATTTTAAACCTTTAACCCATTATTAGCATCAATAATAAAAAACCAACCAGTCCAAAAGCAGTGACGATGTTCTTCTTGCCATACATAGACAGACCTCGGAGCAGCTGCCCCTCCACACAGCGCTTGTTGGGCAGCTTTTTCAGGGCTGCCTCTGGGTCCTGAGTCTTTGCCCACTCTTCTCTGCAGCGGACCAGGAATTCTTTCTCCGCTGAAGAAAGAAGCAAAGGTGGAGGAAGGTTTGAAACACTTTTTAAACCCACTTTATAGATAAAATAGAAAAGTGTGAGAAAAACTCATTCTTACCTCCGGGGCGAGGCTTCAGAATTAAATCCACCACCTCTTTCCAGTCATTTCTCAGGATAGCCCTGCCCAAAACAGAAGGAGGAAACATCACTGGAGTTTAGGCATGAGTTTTTGATCAGCCTGTCACAATTTATGCAAGCATCTCCATGTCATGACCTTACCTGCCAACTTGCTGCGTAGGCACAGCCGTGGTGCCAAAGCGCTGCATGCCATAGTAGTTGATGAAGCCTGTCTGCTTGAGGGATGTCAAGGCCTGATGGACCTGCTCATCTGTCCCTGAGATGTTCCTGATATACAAATATACCAACAAATAACACACTAATGAGTAGCAAAGTCATATAAAAGTACAGTTAAAACTGGTGACAAGACTAGACACAGTATACCTAAACAGTTTCAAGAGAAAGAAATGGGGTCTGGAACCACAAAATTAAAAGAAACCCTACATAAAAGGATGTTCAAACTGACGGGACAACCTTTAGACCTGAGAGTTTATGCTAGTTTTTAATATATTAGGTAAATAAATAACAGTGAAAGTGGAGCCAGGAGAATACTAGAAGATTCAAAGGTAGTTCATTCACTGTTGAGTAGTAGTAGTATCTTAGTATAATACAAATGTAAGATAAGATGTACTGGCTGTCCATGGTGACCAGCATTATTTTTTGTTGACTAGTAAAGACTGCACAATAAGGTATCAGCCATCATCACCAAACTTGGGTTGTAACTTGTCTTTATAATATGTAGTCAGTTCCCGGCCTATCCATACACAGCACCTGGTTGGTTACAGGTAACGCGCATCCACAACAAAGCCCGTTCCTGGCCTATAATGTGTTATAGCAACAGCTAAATTAAACAGAAACAACAGTAACAGCTGCTGACCTGATGACCACAGTGAAGTGGTTTCCCTGCAGCTCCCCCAGCTTTAGAGGGTGGTTTTTGTAGCAAAAGTTTCCAAGTTTGAGGTTCATGAGGCACTTGTTGAGATGAGCCAACCTCTCTGCTGTGATCCTGAGAGGACGGGGAAAAGGTTTCTTTAATTACTGATCCGGTGCAACAAGCTGATCTACCAGAGATCATCTGGCTGGTAACAGCAAAAACAACTCCCGCACTGACAAGAGACAGCATCATTTACAATCATGCACCAGACAGTTTGAAAACGAATGCACACTAATGGAGTGATTTGCTAAAAGCTGTACACACTCACTTCAGCACTGCAATCTCCTGCACAGTGATGGCTCTCTTGTCCTTGGTTCCCATGTATGAAAACATGTTGGGTCTCAGCCTAGAAAAACATGAATTATTGTAAATGATGGTCCTGAACACTGGGCAAATAGACCATAAATCTGTTTCTTATTATTAAATGATAATCACTTTTTAGAAAAAGTAAGTTTGACATTCAGACCTGAGGAACTTTGAAAGCACATTGATAGCGTCCATGGTGTCCTTGTTCTCCTTGTATAGGACAAAGTGGCAGAAACTGCCGCGGTTTTTGGGCCAGAAGTGTTTCCTTGGAGCTTTACAGACACAGAAAAAGTTGTACTGAAATGTAAAGTAGGAATTGTCTAGCTAAATACTTCACATATTCAAACACACAAATCACTCACAGATTCCAACAATAGCATAACTGTATAATACTTTTACAAGGTTACCTGAAAGAAAGCAACTTTTGTCAAGCTAGTGTCACATATTCAATCCCTGCATTTCTAGATAGAAGTTTAAAATATAATTACAAACCAAAAAGCACTTAAACGTCCTCTAGTAACCGACACCTAACTCCATGTGCATTTCCTCTGTGCTGTGTGCAGAACAGGTTCTTACCTGCAGTTGTTTTGACCTCTATCCACCAGAGAAGAGCAAAAGGAGGATAGAATAATGTTACTAAGAAAGAGATGTTTAAGGACTGTAGTTGTCAGGTGTGAGATCTCATGCATGGGCCTGTGAGTGGAGTGGGGCAATTAAAATGGTTTATGCAACAAGGGTGCAGGGGCTGTTTTTTTTTTCTTCAAGGGACCATGGTACTGAATCTCTGCTTTCCTTATTGCCGTTTGAAGCTTTCATTCTGACCAAACTAAATCAAAATGTAGATCAGAGCATTCCACTAAATAATAAGATCAGTCCATAACCAAAAGGCTGCTTGTCTAAAAACAACTATGAGTAAAAATCTGAGCAGAATCATGAATCATGCAGGTATCTCCATCATGCACATGCAGAAGTGCATGCATCGTATTAACATAAAATAGGACATGCAATAAATCCTTTCTGATTATGTAACTACAGCAGTTTAACTGGTCATGAATTCTGTACAGACAGTTGGAGGCTGAAGTCTGGTTCAGTCTTTCTCTCCACATACCTGCCAGAGCTTTCTTCCCAGCAGCATGGTAAGCCACTATGAACTTGCGTCCATCCTTCTCTTCTGTTTTTGTCTCCAGACCAGGAAACTGAGTCTTGATGGCTTTGTGGACCAGCGTCCGCTTCTCTTTTGTGTCATCCATCACCTACAGATGTTATGGAAGGAACACGGACATTACTGAGAGTTTTAAGTGAGGTCATACAAAGGATCCAAGAAGTGTAAACTCACCTCAATAGATACATTGTCCTCTTTATTCTTGAAGAGCTGTAGCTCCCCAAGCTGCTTTTTCTGCTCTTCAGTCAGCACATCAGATTCCTGTGGCGGCTCTTCAGGCTCTGGGACTTCCTAACATAGAGGGAACACAAAAGAAAGCATTATAACCTGATCCAGTGCTGTAAAAACCCAGGACGTGACTCCAATTAAGTGATAACATTACTGTGCTAAAGGATGTGTAACTTGTAACTTGCAATGTGATGGTTGCTTTCTACAACGTTTCCTTTAATGTCTGTTTGCCAAACAGCATTAATATCAACAACAACACCTACGAGTGAAAATTCAACAAGAAATAATACATTTTGAATTGCAATCTACTCACATTACAAAAATCTCAATAGTAGTCAAGAGAAGTTTAATTAATATCTTACCTCTGCAACCTCTGCAGGGATAGAGAGGTCATCTAAATGCACTATCTTGCCTTGCTTGTTGATTTCGTGCACCACGAAATCTGAATATCTGAGAAGAAAACCATGAGAAATCATCTGTTAAACAACCTCAAATGAATTATTTTGAAACAAATTATGCAAACTATGTACTGACTGTGGAGGACGAACCTTTCCTTCAAGATTCCTGAGAAGCCCTTATGGTCACTGACATACTTCAGGATGCCCACATCCAACTCAGTGAGGCCATGCTTCATCATATCAGCAAAGGTCTCACCATCCTCCTCTCCGTCCCCTGCCTCGCACTCAGGCTCTTCCTCCTCATCTTTGTGGGGAGGGCCTCCATTCTTGTGATCCTTCTCAACTCTGGGTTTCTTTGACGGTGTGTCTTCCTCTTTATCCTCTGGACAGCCTCTCTTTTCTCCTACCTGGGCGGGGACAGGCTCTGAGTCAGCCATCAGAGCCAAGCTGTGACAACAAGGACACAAACAACACATTGAAATTCAAACATTTAGACAGAGTACACTTAAAAGAGACACTCCACCAATTTAACACTGAAGAGCTTAGTGGACTTGTCATGGAGAGTACTGCTACTACTGTGAAAACAATTGTGTATAATGTCTACTGTAGCTCTGGAGGGAGCTTTCTAAGGTCTAAGAAAATAATGCTTGTGTCTCTCTCTCTTTCTCTCTCTCAATATATCTGTCTTTCTTTCTTTACTTTATTAGGTCGGAGACAGTAGAGAGCAGACAGGAAATTAGGGGAGAGTGCAGCAAGAGATCTTTGTTCAAGATGAGTACATGGTCAGCATTTTAAAGTGCTTAGCCATCAGGATGCACCATGGCAACACCAAAAAGTCTCTGTTATATGTTATATTAGTCCCTAAGTATCTGAAACAGATCCCCTTAGTATCCTAAAGCCCACTTTCATAGGGTTGGAGTTACTAATGCCCATCAGATTACAGCTAGGTGTGGCCAATTTAGGCTTATCAATGTATAATATCAGTATGTGTATCTGCTCCTTTGTAGTGCCAGGAAATAGAAACACAAGTTACATTTCCACATTAACATAATAAAGAAGAACTACTATTTTTAAATAGAAGGTCAAACTCAGAAGTGTAAGCTTATCACACTGGTTGAAGTTAGTGTGCAGGATATATATTGGAGTTTGGACCTAAGGTTATGTTATTTTATTGATAAAGACATATAGATATCATTTGTGTTGCTTTGTTGGTAACGTTAGTATGCTGTCGTCTTCTCACCAGGCCCATCCTAAGCTATCTGTACACCATGGACCATGATGCAATTCAGCTCATGTCACACTTGACATTTTGTAGGTGTGTGACTTTGTGATGCACTAGTATTAAATCTTGTTTTATACACCACCACCACCACCACTAGCAACATATTACAACCGCTGTATGTGAATCTACAGTCATCTAAAACTGCTGCACTGGACTCAAAATAACGCACATTGCAGTGTGTGTGTGAGTAATGGTAACTAAGTGAAGTAGCACATTAATGGCCTAGAAAACGATGCTACTGGCTTACTGTTTGTGGAGCAGAGATAGCAGGAGACAGTTGTGGACCTGAGACACACTTCTTGTCTCCCAGCTGCTGCCAAACACTTTCACGTCTTTACGGACCCGATCTTGACGCAGACACTGAAAGACATAATGAGCACATTGCTGAACCTCTCATAAGTTAGCAAAGGCGCTAGCGTATTCGCATTGTCATCTATTAACATAAAGCTAGGTAGCTAACACGGCAGCAAAGCTGAGCTGAAAGCAAAGCGGTGTGGAGAAAGAAAAGCGACAAACCTTTGTGTTTCGAGCTAAAAGTCCACTTCAACTTACCTAAGTTTGGTGATATTCAGGAGAGAGCGGACAGCATTGAACGCCAGCTTTTCCCACACGTGTGTGTGTGTGTGTGT